ACGAGAATCCCCGTGCTAACCCGAAACCGAAACGCTGGGCATCCCGAAACCGTACGTCCTAAGTCCAAGACGCTCATAGTCCACCCCGGCCAGGTTCCGTGGAGAGCTGATGATCCAGCCACCACTGTATTCGTGCCCATACCTGAAGCTGGTCGATCTCGGGTTCAAATCTTCAGAACAAGTTTGGCATGCAAGGTCTTGCAAAGTCTTGCAACGAAAGCCAGACCTGCAGGAAGAGCAAGGATAGTGTGGAGGCTTGGGGCCATGATCAGTTGGGCTCACGGGAATGAGGCTGCTTCTTTGCCTCCGGCGCTTCTCAGTCCGTGTGGCTTCATCCGAAAAAATAGCGGGCAGCAGCTTGGCGTTTTTGCCTGGTACCCCTGAGCCTTCTGACAAGAACCCCTCGTCTGCCCTGAGTCTCCGAGGTCCAGATCTGATACCGTCCCCCAGGCAACTGAGAAGCCGCAGCCGCACAAATTGCCTCGACGTGCGCACCTTCGACGGCATGTTGAAGCCAGTACCCCATGGCAAGGATGATGACACGAACAACAGAAAGCACTAAAGGGCTGTTGGCGGGAACTTGGTCGGACACCCCATCCTGGCCCTGCAAGTTTCTGTAAAGTTTTCAGCGTGAAACGAGAAGTCCTGCAACTCCCAAAAGCTCAGGTTGCCCCGAACTAGCCCCCACAAATATCCACAAATCGAACATCCGTGGTGTGACTTGCCTGATCGCGAAGTGAAAATAGCTTCGAGAGGGAGGATGGCCAGGTGACGAGATGAGCCCTGAATCCGTCGCTCTGTGACTCGCCTTCCCGAAACTTGCCCAACCCTGACGGGGCCTGATGGACTAGGTCCTCGCTTTCCGGGCCTCGCCGAGTTTCGAATGAGGTTCAACGCTCTCGCTTGTCACTCCGGCTCAGAGAAGACGGGAGCTGCGGAGAGTAGACAAGCATGCTCTCTGCACTGTGGCATCGGCCTATCCTCCCTCCGCCTGAATCTTTGAAGCGGTGCCCTGCCCAAGAAACGGAAGGTGCCCCCTGAGTTGAAACCGCCGTAAAAAACGGAACCCATGCACTCCTGGCGCTGATTGGCTAAAGCCCGGCTGCGAGTCCACGCTGTTCGACCGCATGGCAGAATAGTCTGGGCTGCTTCGTTTTGGCGGGCTTATGACCGCGAGCTACCTCGACGCCGACTACTGCAGGTAGCGGAACACACCGTCGACATGAGGAGTTGTTGGTTTCATGGGCCAACATCCAAGCGGCTTGCCGGCGTGAGCCGATTTCCAGAGATCTGGCGCGGTCGGGGTTCCTGTGGCAACTTTGTTCAACTGTAGTTCAACTGTAATATCTGATTTCGTCTGGTGCGATTTGCAGCTCGCCAACCAGGCGACATGGATCTCGTCTGCAAGTCCACAATCTGAAGAATCATTGACTGACTAGCACTCACCTGGAGACCCCCCAGCTTCTTGTGCAGGTCATCCAAGCCGAAATACTTGGCCTCAAGTCCGCAGGGCATGTGCTCTGCTTCCGATAGATTTGCATCGTGTCAACCCAAACCATGGACGTGCAAGCTCAGAAGTCAAGGCCTCTTGGAGAAGCATCATCCGGTCTGTGCGGGTCAAGCCCAGCGGTACCCAGTCGTCACGGAGGTAGTTCAAGATGTGAACAAACAAGCCTCGACTGATATGCCGCTGAGCTGAAACCGTCACTTCAGAAACTGTCCTCAAGCTGGCTCCCACGCCTAAACATCTGGATGTGTAAGCCTCTGCGTTCCAAAGGAGGCGCTATATGGCTGAGCAGGCTTAGCATGGAGGAGCTGTTGGGCGAGTGGCGACCATCCCTGTCGATGCAAAGCCCGTCCATCTGTGAGGACACGACAAGCTCCTGCTCAACAAGATACTGCTCTTATGACCTTTCCTTTGCTGCTCTTACGTATGATTGCTGTTCTAGTTTTTTGAAGACAGTGCCACATTTCTTTATTCATGTGTCTCTGCGGAGGCATCTGGGCATGTATGTGCGCATGTATGCACGCTTCTGTGCAAGCCTGCATCGTGCGTGCGTGCATGCGTGCGTGCGTGCGTGCGTGCGTGCGGGCGGGCGGGCGGGCGGGCGGGCGTAGCAAAAGCATGTGCATCGGTGCATGCAAGTGTGTTTGTTTGCGTGGGGGGCTGTACATGTACATGAAAACGTATGTATGGACGGATAGATGCATACATGCATGCATGCATGCATGCATGCAATAATGATAATCTCGGAAGCGCGCATCTGTGCATGTGTGCCAGATATTTTTGTCTGCGTCTTGATATCGTCGAAAAGTGTAAACCTGGCGCTGTGTGGGGAACCATGCAAAGCCAGCTTCTGCAAACAGCATCCCGTTCCGCACACATCCTCCAGGTACCTAAAACAAGGTAACCTGGATCTTTGAGCAAACCCCGCCTTAAACCCCAAATACTATATAAACTCTTTTGATCCAAGCCTACCCACTTTCGCCCCGGCCTGCCCAGAAAGCAGGCGACCAAGAAGCGACTCGGGGTACCGCCTTGCTACAAAGGCATAAAGGTAGAGCATATCATAGATGGTACATGGTACAGATGGACCCCAAATCCAACGTTTACACATCCTCATTCCGGGTTAATTGAGATCAACTCCTACAGCCCCAACCAGAGATTCTGAAATGAAGGACCGAAGATCAGACTTGTCAAGACACCTGGTGCTACTGTCAGAGGAAGCAGGACTGCACCACGTACAGTCGCACTGCACTCTGAACTAAAGCCCCCTCGAAACCAGCGGCAAGAAGCTCCCTTTAGCGAGGTTTCACGGACATGCAGAGAGAGTGGCTGCAACGTCTTCACGGTCGTCCAGTATGGCTCACCGCCCACTGTCAGTTTCACCTCGACAAGTAGCGGTCTGAAATGCCTATCTCGTTCGCGTCTGCATCGGTAAGCGAATTTCCCATGTATCCCAAAGATTCCCAAAGTGTGCCAAAGCTGTTGGCAAGCAGACAGGCATAGGAGAGAGACTTGCCTCCAAATCAAAGTCTAAGTCAGCGCAAGTCCGTGGCCTGTGTCCCTGAGAGCTCGGATCACACAGACAATCTTCGGATCTTGTGTTGCAAAGCCTGGAATACTCATTCGTACGCGAGCAACCCTGGAACGCCCTCCCACGAGCAGCTTCAGCCAAAGTGCGATTTGCGATGCCGGGTCGTGAGCAAAGCCCGAATGCATGGCTGCATGGCAAAGTCGTCATGCGATGGCTATGAACTTGAGTGGCTGTGCTGTGCAATACACAGGGTTCCGAGTTGAGGAAATCAATAACCCGTGCGAATACACAACAATTGCAGGGCATGAGGTGAGCGACGGTACCAATTGGCTGGGGTCACAAGTCTTACAGGCTGAGCATGTTCAGTTCAACCTTTAGGTTAATACCGTAATGCCGCAAGCGGGCGCAGCTTGTTTGCGAAATCAAACCCGGCTTGCAAGTTCCAGTCGCGGGTATCTAGTGGCCTTGACCTAAGCCTCATTTGCCAAGTCTTCACAAGGATAGCAAGTCAAAAGTTGAAAACCCGGACTCTGTTCTGCTGGGACGGATCCTTCCAACTAGCTGTCGTCTTTCTTTTCGAGCCTTTCTTGCAGATCGTACGGTCGGCAGATGTTAAAATTGACTTCTGCACCCCGCGAAGGTGATGGCGGTGGTGGTAGTGGCAGTGGTAGTAATTGTAGTGGTCGTCGCAGTGGTGAAAAGTAGTGGTAATGGTACAGTAGTGCAAGCGGCGGCAGTGGTGGCGGTGGTGGTGGTGGTGGTGGTGGTGGTGCTGGCGGCGATAGTAGCTGTAGCTAAAAGTCGTGGGTTGTGTGGCCAAAGTACTAGCAGCAGAAACAGCAGCAGTAGCAAGCAGCAGTAGCGCAGCAGCAGCAGCAGCAGCAGCAGCAGCAGCTGCAGCAGCCATAGCAGGTGCAGCAGCAGCAGCAGCAGCAGCAGGAGCAGTAGCAGCAGCAGTAGCAGCAGCAGTAGGGCAGCCAGTAGCAGCAGCCAGTAGCAGCAGCAGTACCAGTACCAGTACCAGTAGCAGCAGCAGTAGCGGCAAGCAGTAAGCAGTAAGCAGGAGCACGAGCAGGAGCAGGAGTACTATTCGCAGTAGCCGTCGTCGTCAACATTTCCTTCCTTTGTGTTTGCAATAACTCATAACATCGGTCCCTTCCCTCCTTTTGCTGGGGAGACTGAGTCATGGGCAGGGAAACGCGTGGCGCATCATCTCTGGCCTGGCCATCGAACCTCAGAAGCTCACAGCAGCAACTCTAAGTAGGAGTAGCAGTAAAAGCAGTAGGCAGCGGTGGTAGTGGTGGTGATGGTAACAGTAGCAGTAGCAGAAGCAGAAACGGTAGCAGTAGCAGCAGCAGCAGTAGCAGTAGCAGTGGCAGTGGCAGTGGCAGTAGCAGTAGCAGTAGCAGTAGCAGTAGCAGCAGTAGTTGTTGTTGTTGTAGTTGTTGTAGTTGTAGTTGTTGTACTACTACTACTACTACTACTACTACTACTACTACTACTACTACTACGACTACTACTACTACTACTACTACTACTACTACTACTGCTGCTATCCAGTAGTAGTTCGCAGTAGTTAGTAGTAGTTAGTAGTAGTTAGTAGTAGATAGTAGTAGTTAGTAGTAGTTAGTAATAGTTAGTAGTAGTTAGTAGTAGTTAGTAGTAGTTAGTAGTAGTTAGTAGTAGTTAGTAGTAGTAGGTAGTAGTGGTAGTAGTAGTAGCAGTAGCAGTAGCAGTAGCAGTAGTAGTAGTAGTAGAAGAAGTAATAGTAATAGTAGTAGTAGTAGTAGTAGTACAATAGTAGTAGTAGTAGTAGTAGTAGTAGTAGCAGTAGTAGTAGTAGTAGTAGTAGTAGTAGTAGTAGTAGTACAACATCAGTAGTTGAAGAAGTGAAACCTTTTCGATTTTCACGTGTTTGCAGGCTTCACTGTTCCTGCAACTCCTCTGTACTCAGGAACGGGCCGCCTGGCCCAAGTTTCCTGACCAGCTTAACCGAAACTTGATTCAGGCATAGTCTGCCACACGAGCAAGCAGCTTGACATGGCAGCAAGCACTTTTTCGTCGATTTCGGACACCGCAGAAATGAGCTTCGCTCAGTTGTGCGCCCCAGTTCTGACTTTGTACCTTGGATGACGAATGTTGAGCACTATGTATGCAATTCAGGAAGGGCTATGGCTTGTCTTGACAGCAGGTGGTGCAACTTGACAGTTCAAGCGGAACCGCAACCCCACGGCAACACTTCGGTCCGGGTGACAGAGCCGTATTTGCGAGTTAGTGCTTTTTGTTGCATGCGAGTTGGCCTAGCTCGGAGCTGCAACCAGCGAGAGCTGTAACGGAAACCCACCAGACAACGAAACCGAAACCGGATTTTGGGTTGAGGCTTTCAGTTACAGCGTTTACTGCCCTTAGAGAGCCCTTCAAACTCTACAAAACAAGCCCTTGGAAAGCGCCGTTTAAACCCTTGACACAAGCTCTTATAAGACAGCAGAAGCCCTTCAAGGCCCATGTAAGCTTACCCGTGTAAGCCCTTTGTGAGCCCTTACAAGCCCTGAAAAACAAGAAACCCTCAGATGCTCTTTGTAAGCGCTGTAAAAAACCTGAAAGCCCTTTAGAAACACTTGGCCATTAACACTTATAAAAGCATTCATAAGCGCAAACCTTGAACCCTTAAAAACCTAAACCCTACAACCCTTCACCCCCAAACATCAAAAACCTAAAACTCTTAAACCGCAAAAAAACCCTTAACCCCCAACCCTGTAAACCCTTGGACAAAAACCTTACCTCCTCTCCCTAAACCCTTTTTCAGCACGGACTGAAGTGCCGGCCAGCGCCCATGCAACCCTCATCCTCTCTTAAGGCAAGTCCGCAAACGTAAACCCTCAACCCTAAACCCAGAAATTCACCCCCCTTCAAAATTCATAGATTGTACTTGTAAGTTGAAACTGACAGCTCTGCATTTCCTCTATGCGTACACTCGACCTCCAAAACCCCCTCTGCCCTGTAAAGATACTCTAAACCTTAGCCCACCGTGAAAACTGAACCCGAAACGTTAAAAAGCCTATGGGTTTCATTAGGATCTCTGTACAAATTCCTAAGGAAACCATGGTTTCTTCTGGTTTTGTCTGCAAAACTTGGTTTTGATTTGGTTTACCAATATTATAAACCCTAAACCCGAAGCCCTGAAGTGCATAGTCAGAGGCGAGTCAAGGCCTGTGTTGAAGGAAGTTGCAAGACCCGTGGTTCCGTTTACGACTCCCACCCGGTTCCGGCTACAGCCCGGGCCCGGTTTCCGCGTTCGTGAAACAGATTTGCTGTAACAACCCACTGGTTCAAGTTACAGCGTTTACTCCTACGACAGGTTGTGGTGGCTTTGGGCTCGGCGTCGCTGCCGTCGGCAAACTCTCACCCTGCAGGATACCGCGGCCAGATTCGCCCTTCCGAGTACGGTACGCTGATGCAACCGGGCTGCAATTGATGGAACTTGGCCTCTGCCTGCCTGGCCCGCGACATGCCTGTCACCACCAGCGCAAATGCCATCTATTGCCCAAACTCGTGAGCGGCTGCCACGTGCGCAGCAATCGGACCTCTTTGAGCCATGGCGTTCTGCAAGCCGCGCACATCCACTGCTTGACTCCACTGCGCGCCCTTGAGCTCAAAGTCGGCGGCATCGGTGGCCGCCTGAAGCAAACGAGGACCACGGCTGAGCTGACAGATGTAGGAACCGCTGCCTTCGAACTCCAGTAACTCCCGTCATGTACTCGCAGCATTGGGCCGACGTGACTCCAGCTGCTGTTTTGGATCGCCTTCACAAAACGGTCTGCGACATTCTACATGCCAATCCAAGACTCCAACACCTCGTCGCTGTGGACGATCTGGCGTCCCAGCTGTGGTGGGGGGCCAACGAAGTCATGGACAATGGCGACGCCTTGCAGCAGCTCGCGGCGTTGGGCATGGTGATGCATGGCATGGGGCTTGGAGTCGCAGGCCACAAGAGCTGCACAGATCGGATTTGTATGTAGGTATTGTAAGTTGTCTTGCGGCCTCGATTGTACTGAGGCACCGCAAGTTCCTGCGCATAGGCAACCTGCAAGCCACAAGCTGTCACACCCCAGGTTTCGGAATCAAACAACAGAAGCTTCTGCCGCGCAACCTCGCGCTGGCCGTAGCCGTACAGCTGATGGGCGTCAGGTAACCTGAGAATTAGCAGCCAAAGACGGGGCTAAAAGATGCTAAAAGATGCTCTGAGCCATCAGCGAGGCAAACGGAGCGACACTGCGCCCAGGCGTCGACCCGCTGTGTGAGCACGGCGCAAGTCTTGGGCTCGCTTCGACCTCGGAGGAAAACCCACCAGTGGCAGACTGCACTCCACATGGTCGCATCATTACCATGGGCCTTCTTCTCGACAAGCCGATCTGCAGATGCCTCGACAGCTTTACAAGGTGAGATGCTGCATCTGCCTGTAAGACACGACATGATAACAACGGTGTCCAACACTGTGTCCAACTGCAGGTGGAAGGTCCCGCGACAGTACGCTGGATGCCGCAGGGTCCGTTGCCAAGGCCGCGAAGGCCATAGCCGGTGAATTTCTGATCAAGGATGAGGCAAAGAGATGCATATCAGGATGCATGCTCGGGCATCTGTGAGGCTGACGACCACTTCTGCTTGCAGTTTCGAAATGCGTGGACCAGCCAAAGCAAGCTCGCGCGATGATTTGTTTGGGCGGCGACTAAATCTAAACCTTGCCTCATTCGGAATTCGTCTAACCTGCAGGAGACACGATCTCAAGAGAGCTTCCTTTTTCTGCCTCCTGCGAATCCTAGTGGAGCGCAAGCTTTTCAAGCACTTCCGGTGAAACGATCGTGAAACGGAGGCAGGTGACACTCTATTCCTGTGACATGAGTCGTGCTGGTTGGGTCGGGCTTTGGGCTGCGTGGTAAGGTTAGTAAGAGTCTGACTGTCCTACGACGTTGTGTCTCGACACTACGCTTCAGCTGAGGCGTCCGCAAGAGCTGTTTGTCGCAGGGTCTGCTGCTCTTCGAGCTTTCGCTTTAGCTCATCGATCTGCGTCTTGTTGTCGTCGATCTCACGAGTGAGCGCTTGTATATCCGGCTCAGACTTTCCTGTCAGCATGAAACACCAAGAATTAGTCGATGATAGACGACATGACACCTCATCAGAAAGTATCAAAAAGGCAGGGAAAGCTGCAGCGGTGCTCGCCTGATGCACTGGACTTGCTGGTGCTCTTGAGCTTGGAGACGTGGAGGCGTTGCTGCTGTCGCTCTCGCTTGAGATAGTCTATTTCTCGTCTGAGATTGTTTATCTCAATTATCAACTGAACATTCTCCTGCAGAACTCTGGTGTTGTCCTGACGGTGGACATCCGAGTCTTTGAGAAGCTTCTTCTTCAGGTTCTCTACAGACTTTTCCAGGTAATCTCTTTGCCTATTATACTCCCTTTGGATGTCGCTGTCCAACTCTTGCTTCTTCACGCCGTTAGGGACGTACTTCTTGTAAAGCGCCGACACCGACTCTTTCAGCAACCTGGGTTCCTGAATGAACTGCACGCACTCATGCAAGTCCGTCTTGAAGCGCTTGACGACAGTCTGGCAGTCTGTCATCTTCTTGCGCTGAGAGACGATGTCGTCTTGCAGGGTATTGTGTTTGTTTTTAAGCTGCTGTATGTTGACCTGGAGCTGCGTGTTCTTCTTGTGATAACCTTCAAGGTCTGCGTCCATAGCTTGGATCTCCTTCTTCATGGCCGCAATTTTGTCGTTCTTGGGATCAATCTGTGCTTTCAAGTCTCGGATTTTATAATCCAGCACGAACTTGAACTTTTCTAGCTCCTGGTTCTGCTTCTTCAACTCGTAGATCTTTCCTTCTTTGTCTCCAATCGTGGCGTCCCTCTGCCGTATCTGAGCTGCATTCTGGTCCCGCTCCTTGTTGAGGTCCTGAATCTTGGCGTCCTTCTTGCGTGCCTCCTCCATGTACTTGATCAGCTCATCCTCTTTTAAGAGCATCTGGCGCTTTAACTCCTCATGATTTCTTTTGTGGATGCCTGCTTGGCCACGGAGTCGCACTTTGTCGTCTCTCTCTGCTTTGAGACGCGTCTCTTTGTCTTCTTTAAGCTCCTCTATCTCCCTGTCGGTGTCCTGCTCAAGCTGCCGCATCGTCTCTGTGTGGACTTCCTCAGCCAAACTCTTCTCCTTCAGAATTCGGTCGATGGCGTCCCGATCGGCTTTCTGCTTTGCCTTGCACTCGGCTTCCATCTCGTTCACCTTCGCCTTGTGCTCCGCCAAGATGCGACTATGCTCCTCCTCCCACCTCCGGTGGATCTCCTCCCGCTCCGCCGCCAGCTTCTGATACTTGTCAACCTCAATCATCATCTTGTGCTGGAAAGAGCTTTCTAGTTCCCGGTCCTGCTTGAGGTGGTGCTCCCTCAAACTGCTGAGGTTCTCTTCCTGTTCCATGACTGCGTCGTGGCTTTGCTCCCGGAGGATCTCGTATTTTTGACGCTCTTGGTCAATTTCAGCTGTGTATCGCTCTTCAAGCGCCACCATCTCTTCCTTATGGAAGCTCTCACGATACCTGGCTCAACAACTCAGCTTCGCTTCACAGAACTTGACTGGCCGTGCCTGAGCTGAAACTCCTGCTGATTCGACAGCTCGTCGACCTTTCGCCTGCGTGGAAGTCGGGGCACAAGGAAAGGACTCTCTTTTCAGAAGGCCCTCTCACGACATGTGGCCCAGCTATAGGCAAGCAGCTCGAAGTCCACTAGGTCGGACTGCTTTTCGTCCAAAAACGATCGGGTCACCAGGATTTCGTCAGAAGGAGGCAGCGCGCTCTCCTGCGTTTGGGACAGAGCATTGCTCACATTCCTCGGCCTTCATATCAAGCTGAAGAACCGCGAGCCTTGTCACGTTTAGAAACATTTCGATCTTTGCGCTTCACATCGAAGACGAACAAAGTTCCATCCTGATGAAAGTCTATGAAAGGGTGAATTGGGGCTATAAATACATGCGCTCGGACAGCTGTGCTTGGACTTCTGCAAAGGAATGTGTAGCTTTTTGTGTCCTCTGCCGTCGAGAAGAGATAGTAGTCGTCGAATGTGATGCGGATGCGGGTGGCCGGGGCAGCGTGAGCTGAGAATTCGTTGTAGTAGCCTGGAGCATGAACAAAGCAAGTGGTCGCAGCGCATCGCATCTACACTGCCTGTCGATTTCCTGCAAGATCATGGCACTCACTGCTAGCAAGGTGCCATCCAAAGGGAATTTATAGCAACGAATCGGGCCGGGAGCATCGGGCTCTGCCACCGCAGCAAACAAACTCTTGGCGGAGTTGGCCAACCTGGGTTCGTGGCGGAATACTTAGCTCGGTATGATACCACAGGCTTTCTGAATCGTGAATTGCCATGCTCAGGCTAGTCACACAATTTGGCCCAAAGTTGTATTGGCCTTGACCACATTCTGCGTCGTGCCTTGAAAAACCTCTCTCAGCATTTGGTCGCTGCCGACGACATACCTTGGCAGACCAAATTTGACATAATCTGGATCCCTTCGTGTCCCAAACGTCGTATCACACTGCGGCTGCCCCTACGACCAAGACCCCTCCGGAAAAAGGTCCGGTCTAACGTTAGTACTGGAAACCTATAGGAATCGGAAGACTCCATCCGGTGGACTAGCCGGGTACGATGGGTACTGGAGAAGCATCAAGCTAACGGCGAACACAGCAACGGAACACTTCCAGCCCGATCAACGAAGCCTCACAGCCATTAACAGGGGAAAAACGACCAAAATCGTCAAACAAAACACATCGTGTTAGCGCCACTCGCTGGGTCCGTATGCACGATGACACTCGAGAAGGATGTGCCCTTCTGCACGAAGTCGTTGCCAACCTCGGTTGTGAGAAAAGAGTCACTATCGGAAACACTAGCCAAGGACGTCGGGCCAGTTTGCTTTCGTGCAAGCGGCGCGTCTTCCTTCGCGGCCAGGGATCGTCTCTGCTTGGACGTAATACTCGTAAACGGCACCGTCGGCACCAGTGGATACGAGCATGGAGTCATCCTGCGTCCAGGCAACAGATCGAACCTTGTTGTTGTGGCCGCGAAGTGTTTCTATTGGTTCACAAGTGTAGGTCTTGTACACTTGGATGGCATTGGTCGCGTTGGTGTTCACCGCCGCGAAGTACTGGCCACCGTTGCTGAAGCGACATTCTCTGCATTGCTTGATGGGAATGTCTTTGTAGGTTTTCATGTCCGCCATCAATAGGTTCATTAGCCGAAGCTTGTCGGACTGACCGATAAGCAAGTGAAAGCCAGACGGGTGAAAAGCGATGGAATACGCCTCTTCATTAAACCACTTGCAAAGGGCGCATGTCTTCTCCACATAGTTCCAGACCCGAGCCGACTTGTCAACTCCACACGTCACAACCAACGGTTTCCTGATGCAAACATCCATGCCCAGAATGGCACCTCAGGCAGCCCACAATGCAATCCAAAGAAGATTGGGGTTCTTGAACCCTTTTACCGCTAAACCATCGCAGGCACCGGTATGAAAATGTGTCAAGACTGGATCGAAAGATGGAGATTCGTCTGCCTGCAGCAGGTCCTGCTGCAGCCACGAGACGACAACCGGACTTGCTATAAAAAGGTGCGGTCCTGCCCCAGCAGTGACAGCTGATAGAGCTGAGATGTTGAAGTGGTCAGAGCTAGTAGCCTTGTCTGGTGTCGCCCAAGGCACTGCCAACTCAGCTCTGCACATCAAAACAAAGGAAAGTGCGCGCCGAGGTGCTCTTCGGAGGGACTCAACGCTAAGCTGCGGACGGCACATGCACCACCTTCTACCTCGAAGCCGGTTGTCATGGCAAACAATGGGAGTGCTAGGACTCGGCATGCCTGCAGCGTCTTCGTGTTGCGATAGACCTCCTGGATGCCAGAGCTGTGCAAGTCTGTGCGATGTAAGCAACAGACTCTGCCTTGGGCTCATCGCTTTTCTCGTAGACCTGGGCTCACGGCTCGACTTTCGCCACATCACATCATCTTGTCACCTGCTTGCTGTCATGTCACGCGAATGCAGCCGTCGTCGCCGCCAATGACGAAGCCCTACCAGCAGTCAGCAGCTAGCTGAACGTTGCGGCCACTCTCAAGTGTAGGGTCCCCTGTGGCTACGTAAGGAGCAGGTTCCCCTTTCTTTGCGACTGTTGGTGGCTGCTTGCCTTCGAGAAGGAGATGACACAGGTCGCTGCCCTGGGCTCCCCCGGACTGGTCGGCAGCACGAGCTGGAACTCGCCTGAGCTCACAGCTATGACGACTTCGCCAACATCTCCCATCTTCCCTGCCAAACATCACATGCTGATTCCGTAGAGGCACCCGCATTGTCAAAGAGCAGCAGATCTCCATTCTCGCAACCAACCAACATCTTGTCATCATGCAGCCAAGTGTGACCTCATCAAAACGATTCGATCCTGGAGAAGCAACCCTGCGGATCTTGAATAGAGTCATGCAGGGATCATTTAGACGACTCAGGCCGCAAAAACTCGCCAGCACAAGCTGACAAAGCACTACCCGCTGCCCGAGAAGAATACCACATGCGAGCAAGTCGCACATAAAGCTCTGCAGTTTGGCGGGGGCTACAGGCAGCGTTTTGAAGCCGTCCTGACATCTCTCATCTAGCAGTGTGTGGTTTCGCGGGTGGGAGGCCTAATGACTCACACTCACTCCGGCACAACATAGCTAGCTATCTGGCAACGTTCGAAGCTTCTCGAGCGACCCTGCGCCCCGACCCATCAGCACCTTCAGCTGCATGAACTTGAAGATGCCATCACCAATAACCTTAGATGTGACGGAAACGTAGTCCCGTGTCAACCCAGTCGCTGCGCACATGCATGCTGCGTGCATTCCAGCCGCACAAACGATAGAAGAATCTGTAGGATTGAACGAGCACTCTCGTATGAGCGCATTTTGAGGGTTTGACACCTTGATCGATGCCATATATCTAGATTTGTCCCATGCCCAGTATATCAAAGTCCAGTCGTGCTTCTCGCTCGGAGACTTGCCCGTCTGTGTGAGCAGGTACTTGCTATCGGAAGAGAACGCCACGCAAACGAATTCTGGTGCATCTGATTCTGGCCAGGACAGTGTTTTCCGCTTCCTTAGATGTACAAATGATCCACGCTTAGAATCGGTGGGCAAGCTTTCCACTGGATCCCATGCAAGCAGGACACTTGGCTGTAACTAGATCGAAGATGGTGCAGATCGCCCCTTCGTAGCATTTTTCTGCCACGGCCAGGTAGCGCTTCGTGTTGTTCACCGCCATACATGTAAGGCCTTCCGCACCCTCATTTCCTGAATTGCAGCGTACGTGGAGCGTGGAGAAAACTCGCTCACCATCTGCCTACAGACCTTTACAGACTTCCCCCCAGGCTCCTTGAAAGATCTTCTGCTGCTTGTTGGCAGCGTCATACGAGACAGCATTGGTGCCTGCAGGATAGATGACCTGGGTCTCCTCCGCGTAGTGCACATTGTTCTTGACATCAGACCTGATAGAAGGCCAGTCAAGCTGTACTGTGCAGCGACCATCCCACACCACAGAAAGAAGAACAAGGCTGCTCAGTTTCATGCCACGGGGCTTCAAGCCGAAAACGTGTCGATGACTCAAGCTTATTGCCGGCCCTTCAGACGCTCTCTCCTTCAGCATCATCCTAGCTCACTTACTGTACCGGCACAAAACAGAACCTTCTCGAATCACACACCACAGTCCTCCGTCATCGGCCCGGTTCAAGCCCCGTGCTTGAGCAAACACGGCTGAGAGGGCAGAAGCAAAGTTTGACTCTTTGTCGATGAGCTCAAACCGACACGATGAGTGCAAAGACTAACAACATCCAGCGGGATCCTCTGCAAGTTTCTCGGGGGTGTCCGGGGCACTGGTCAGAAGCCAAGCTGCCTGATTCGTCCTTGGCATGGTGGAGAAAAGCTAGCAAAACAACTAACTACGGTGGTGCAACGGAACAAGCAGGCCACCTCGATACTCTGTTGACATTCTCCTCGACTGCCTGTAGTATTCGCAGTAGTGGAGCGCAAGGCACCAAGATCATCAAAAATCTTCAAAACGAAGCGAAACCCCTTTCCGCCCCTCATGATTAGGCAGGCAGTGCGACAGAATATGCCCACGGCGCAGCACGTGAGAGTTTCACTTTAGCTGAAGTTGCTTCTAGTTAAAGGCGGTGCATATCGATGCAGTGCACAATTGCTTCTGTGCACTGTTGTGTCAAGTCTTGGGGAGATGACTCCCTCTACATGAGAACTGTTGCAAAGCAGTGACCCAGTACACCCAGCAAGTCCGGGTAAACCATGCTTCCAAGGCTGCATGGTTTCGCTCTTGTCAAAAGCTCTCCCTTAGACCCGAAATCTGCACACTTCCATGTCGGTAGCACCAATGACTGGCATGTTCGTGGTGGACGATGAACTTTGGCTTCTGTCTCCTGCTGCAACTTCGGAGCTTGCGCCTCACTTATGGTCTGTTCGCACGTGGGCTTTTCCCGTTGGCTTTCAGCCTTCTCGATCGTTGGTTTTGCCGCACCATCAAGACGGACTCTTGTTTGTTCGGGGCCCCTGAAGGCTTGTTCGCACTGCTGCACTTCTTCGGTCTGTCCGCTTTCTAACGTCCATCCAGGCATACACTCCCCTGCCTGGCCCGAGTGCATCAGCCCTGTTTGCTTCCAGGCCTATCTGGATATCTGGTACAGACAGCCATACTGTTACTACTTCTGCCTTCAGCTCATCTTCTAGCTCCTCCCGGTAGCTCTGCAAGCGGTCTAGACCTTGCGTCGGGGAGAGATTAGCCTTCGTTCACACGCTCTCGCGCTCGCATCCTTTCCAGAGCTGGGCTTCCAGGCGCCGCTCCTCAGCGCTCCGAGCCAACGCGAGCTCGCCACCCTTCGTGCAAGTTAGCAATTGGCTTAGGCCTGACTACGAGAGCAGCAAAGGCAGCACGAATTCATTGATTGGATGAGAAGATGCTGGAGGTCTGAACAAACCGAAATTGACGAAGTACAGGTAAGAACCGGAAGCACAGTGCGAATATCACGTTTGGGTAAATCATGAAGGGGCAGATGGTTTCAGAAGCGATGCAGAGTCATGGAGATTCCGCTTCAAACTATGACACAAGTTGTGGCAGGAAAACCGGTCGGAGGCTTGTAAATGCTCTTCTGATTCCTCTGGCGGCAGTGCAGAATGTTTGCAGCAGGCACGTCTCATTAGCATTTGCGACGCACGCAGCTTGCAAGCACATGTACCGAGTGCAACTCACAGAACAGTACAAGTCGCTGTCGCACCTGCGGCTGCAGAAACTTCATTTTCTTTATTCGGAGTGGAGATGTGCCTCTGTTGTGCTGCTTCCTCGGTGTGAGGGCCTTCTAACACTGCTCAAAGGTTAGCTCTGCCAAAACGATGAGGTTGCGCACGTCCAGTCGGAGTAACTGCACCATGTCGGGCCTTAGGCCCGAGCGATTCTGCGAAGCTCATCTGCCGCCCGGGCCATGGCCTCAAGCTTGACACAGCGCAAGCGGGACGTCTCAGCAAGTCGCACCCGCCGCTGTGGCCTGTTCCTGCCAGTGCCTAGAATGGCCTCCGGTGGCCTATTTGCACAAACACATCTTTGCTGCACTTCTTCGATCAGCCGATGATATCAAGATCTGCTAGGTAGACTTCAGCTTCCATCAAGGCAATTTGGGCCTTGATCCAGAGCCCACCCAAAACGAGCCTACCCCCTAACTATTTGCCGCTGTTTGCGGCTTATTTACTGCTATTTGTTGTTTGCTGGGCTCGGGCGAATAGCGACAATTAGGGGACATTTAAGGGCATTTAGCGGCATTTAGCAGACATTTAAGGACATTTAGTGGCAAATAGCGTCGAGAAGCTGGAATTGGTGGAACATAGGATTATATGTTTGTTCTAGGGTTTGGGGTTTCGGGTACATGTCAATGTCAAAGTCCGACCATTCGTTTTCGCAAGACAATATAGAAGCCGAACTAACTACCAATATTCTTCCTTAAGGTTCCGGAATTTTATGAAAACTATAGTATGAAGGAGCCAAAACCCTTATTCCAATTATTGAGGCCCCTACTTTGCAGAGTAGGGCCTACTCTGGCTGGTTTTCCAGGCTCAGGGCCTTCCCTAAACCCTAAACCCTGAAGTCGATTCTTTGGGTTTGGGAGTTGAGTTTTTTGCCCTGAATCACCCAAAACCCTAAAACCGTGGCTTTTTGACTGCAGCATGCTGCAGCTTTCCCGACAATGCCAGAAGCTCTAAGTGCCGTGCAGCCTCATAGGTGGACTGGACGTAGGCGTTCACGGCCCGCTCGCTCGAAGATCCAACCTCCAAACACGATCAAGATCCAGGGCGCCATGTACACCCGCAATGGCAATGTGGAATTTTGCGCACAGATATCCCAGGCAAGGCCCCGAAAAGCAGGTGTGGCAAATCTGGTGAGCCACTCATGGATCACGAAGTGAGAGTGCGAGAACTACTCCCTTCAACTTCACCTTTGGACTGATCCGCACAACTCGAACTCGTGCAGCAACCTAAGGAGCCGCCTGCCAAGCATGGCTGAGGTGATGCAGAATGAGCACAAGTCGATTCTCACCGACACATCACTGCCGTGGATAGAAAGTTTTCATGAAGATGACAGCATTTCTGAACTATTACGGGTAGTATCTACAATCATTGAAGGCTGGTGTGACAGAAAAAGCTTCGGGCATCCGCAACCCTTCGACTTGACTCACTTGACATGGCAACCATACTTCCCAGCAGAAGTCCCCAATCTTGAGCACACTCTCAACATGCAACTTGCGATCAACACCTGGCCACTTCGGCTGCCTTGCAAGCCTCCACAGCAGCCGCATATCCTTCCATCATGGTCGTCACCTGCGACATCATCATGCTTCATCAGGCCAAGCCCGCCGTTGCCGCCTGATGAACCACCTAGCCTCGAGCTGCCTTTGTCCTGCCTCTTATCATGACCTACCAGTATCTCCGGAGCTGCACAACTGGTCCCGCCGCAGCATCCACTCGTCGGCGCAAGTCAGTGCGCCTTTGGCGCGCCTCGATCAGATTCCAAGCTTGAACTTCGGACTGCTGGAAGGCCGTCGACCAGGAAAGCAGTACATCAGCGCGCCTTCGTTAGCGCGGGTGCCTCCTTTGGCTGTTCCAGCTTGAATGCCTCGCTTGCAGATCGAGAACGACACAGCCGAAAGCAGCTTTAAGTCTCCGACATCTGCCATGCGCGAAGCGCTTCACGCCGTTTTCAGATGTTCTCAGTCTGCCGTTACAGATGTTTGCTGCACTGCGACTGGATTGAATGGTGAAGAATAGCTTGCACCTTGCATGCCAACTCGAACGCAGAACTTGAATAGACGCGGCCACAGGCTGCACATAAAGTCACGCTTGCTGCAACAAGCTGGCCGAAGAGGCCGAGGTCAGAAACTGCACGAACTGCATGTAAGCAGGCCTTCTGTCTTAATTCCATCAGCGACAGCACTGTCAAATCTTGCAAGTATTGGACAGACCAGCTGGTTCTCAGCTGGAATTAAAAGAGGCTGCTCAACGTAGTGTTGGTGCCGAGGAACTGCTTGACAGGCCTTGCTGTGGCGGTACCTGCGTAGTGCACTCCGATATCCGGTTTTCTGTAACCCGACATCCCACCACCCCTCCTTCACCAACCTACTGCCCAAATGGTCAAGGACTTCCTCAGGCTGAGGCCCATGTAATCGATGGTGCGTGAAATGACGTGTGTTGATGTAGGCTGATCTGCGTAGAGCCTTCTTGGAAAGCGTGCCTTACGGCACCAGAGCTCTTGGAAAACATCGTGCGCGGAATGCCTGCGGCAAGGAAGTGTTTGCAAAAACCTTTCAATGCTTCTCGCACTTGGACCCCAACGTTGGCAACGGATATCTGCTGATGGAGACACTGTTTGCAGTGTCTGCTGAAACCTGGCACGAGGTTGCTAGTGCACGCCGCCGATCAGTTTCAAGAAACTATCGTGATCGCAACTCTGCCGCGAGAGAAGCACAACACCATTCGTCGCTTCTGTCCTGCTATTGACTCTCGTTCACATCGCCTTTTCATGCCTTGTGTAGTTGCATCAGCCACTAGTTTAATCCTGCGCGTATCCCACAGCACACATGGATTGAACGTCGCTCCTGCGTACCATTTTGAAAACTCTCTCGGCCTGTATGAGATTACCAGTACCATGGGCGCAATGATGCTGTGTCGAATGTGTACATATACTCCAAATCCGAAACTCGAAACTTTCCAAGCCCTCCAAATCGACATGTGTGCGTGTGAATGTAACTGTAAGTTATGTGTATATATACGCGAATGGCTGACGGATTGGATCTTGCAAGTTTGGATACAGCAATCTAACTGCAAATGGAACGCAAATGAACGGGAATCCCAGTTTCCCGAATACTTGCTTGCACTGACCCTGCTTCCCTCCCACATCGCTACTTTTTGAGCCGCTTCTGCACGTTCCCGCCGCATGACGCAACATGTCCTACAGTTCCGAAGTCACAAGCCTGATCAATCCGACAAGTCTGGTCTATCGACAACCGACCCAAACTTGCAAGAATCAACCTCAACTTGCTGTGCAAATCATTACGGGAAGCTGCGATCCGGCACATCAACATCCTGGGGCGCATGAAACTACCACTTTCGCACGGAACTAGGGATCCAGGATCTCACGGGCAAGGCGCCGAGCTGCCGGGTCTCCTGCTTGAGCCGGTGGAGCCGAGTGGCTGATTTAAGACTTGAAAAGACACACACTACATAGTACTACGTAGATCATAAGCGCATCTAAGGCGCCCAAGTGGTGGAAAAGCGGGACCTCCTGCAAAACATCATGAACGTGCTGAACTTTTCAGCTTATGAAACCTGGCCTTCGCCGTGTATAATAGCTTGGCGTGAGGTGCGAGGCGCCCACCCATATAGTGTGTTTCAGCCTCTGCCTGTCCAATTCCGAACGTCTGGAACACACGGCTCAATCCACCGAAGCTTCGGGGTCTGGATTTAAACTTCTCCCTACCCCGCAACTCCGCTCCCAGACCCGTGGTGCTGGCAATCAAGCTGGGAGGCCGAAACTACTACTACTACTACTACTACTACTACTACTACGACTACTACTACTACTACTACGACTACTGCTACTACGACTACGACTACGACTACGACTACT